TCAAAATGCCTTCCCCTCCTCTACCCCTTTCGCTCATACTTGGCACCTAGAAAGAGTGAACCGAGTCCCGTCTGTATTTGTCAGCCCAGCGAGTCCCGCCTTACCTTAAGTCTATTGAAAACCTGCTCCCTCCAAGGCCACACGGGTCTCCCCTGCATTGTTTTTCCTTCCTACTTTATTTTTAAAATTTATTCATTTTCTGTATGTATTTATTTATATTAGGATTTTAAAGTTTATTTCAGGAAATGATAGACAAACAGGGAGTAAAATACAGCAAGGAGAAACTTAAAAAAAAAATTCCAAGTTGCGCCGAAACCGGTTTGGCTCAGTGGATAGAGCGTCGGCCTGCAGACTGAAAGGTCCCAGGTTCGATTCCGGTCAAGGGCATGTACCTGGGTTGCGGGCACATCCCCAGTAGGAGATGTGCAGGAGGCAGCTGATCGATGTTTCTCTCTCATCGATGTTTCTAACTCTCTATCTCTCTCCCTTCCTCTCTGTAAAAAAATCAATAAAAAATATATTTAAAAAAAAAAATTCCAAGTTGCTTCCTAAATTAGAAACTAAAGTTTTCCCACATGTTCTTAGAAATATCTGTGCGGCCTCATTTGCCTTAGTTCTACATTCTCTGTCTATAAAGATACTTCTTAGGTTCTTTTTCTTTTTGTTGTGGTAAGAACATTAACATGCGATTTACCCTCTTCATAGATCTTGAAGCGCACACACCGTGTTGTTAACTGTAGACAATGTTGACAGCAGATCTCTGGAACGTACTCATCTTGCATATCTGACACTTTATACCCACAGGAACAAAAACTTCCCACTTCCCCTCTCCCCCATATCTGGCAACCAGTGTTATATCCTCTGCTTCTGAAAGCTTAGCTATTTTAGTATCTCGTGTAAGCGGAATCAGGCCGTGTGTGTCCTTCTGTGACTGGTGTACTTCACTCAGCATAATGTCCTCCAGGCTCAGCCTGTTGTCACCTGTAACAGGACTTCTTTCTTTCTTAAGGCTGACTAAGATTCGATTGTGTGTGGGCACCCCATTGTCTTTAACCATTTATTAACTGATGGGCATTTAGGTTGTTTCCATAGCGCGGCTATTGCGCGTAATGTTGCAATAAAGTGCAGATACCTCTTCAAGATCCTGTTTTCAGTTCTTTTGGATAAATACCAGACACGGGACTGTTAGATCATATGGTAGTTCTATTTTTAATTTGTGAGGAACCTCCATACTTTTCCCATAGCACCTACACCATTTTACATTTCCCTCTTATTTTAGTTCTCTCTTGCAGCATTTTACCTAGCTGACTTCTCATTCATTCGAGAAACCCCTTCCTTTGTGTCCTAGGGTGGCCCCCTGGCTTCTCTTCCTCTGCTTCCTCATGGAGTAGATCTAATTGCTCAATGATATTTCCATCTCAATGTCCCCCTGTTTGCCTCTATCTGTACATGTTCAAAACCAAGCTCGTGATCCTGTCTTCTCCATGCCAAGTATATTAGTTTGCTAGAGCTGTAACAAAGTACCACAAAGTGGGTGGCTTAAAATAGAGAAATGTATTGTCTCAGTTCTGGAGGCTAGAAATCCAAGATCAAGGTTGGCAGAGTTATTTCCTTCTGAGGGCTGTGAGGAGGGATCAGTTTCATGCTTCTGATGGCTTGCTGGCAATCTTTAGCTTGTAGAAGCATCACCCCAATGTCTGCCTTTTTTGTTCACATGATGTTTTTTCTATGTGAATGTCTGTCTACACATTTCTCCAGTCATGTGGAATTAGGGTCCACTGTAGTGACCAAAGATGCTTGAGGTTGGGACTTCAACCTATGAATTAGGAAGGTGGCAAGATTCAACCCATAACACCAAACAAACTTTTTTTCAGGTATTTCTAATTTCAGTGAATTAAACCAATGTCCACCATGTTGCTCAAGCAAAAATGTGGGTATCATCTGTGTCATGTCACTTGCTTGTATATTAATTAGGTTTCAGAGCTCACAAAAATTAGAGGCAAAATTTTGGAATAGGAACTATAGCATCCAATAAGTTTATAAAGAGGCCTGTGACTCCCAACTGGCTGACAACCTCTGCTCTATATCTTTTTTTTTTTTAAAGCATTGACCACCTTGGTACAAAAGTAATATGTATGTACAAATTTTGGAAAATTACAGAAAAGCATACAAATAAAATTTTAAATTATCCTATTATCCACTTACCCAGAATCAATTCTTTGTATGTTTTATGCCTTTATGCATTTTTTTTTCTAGTTGGGTCATACTGTATGTAAGATTTTGAATCTAACTTATAAAATTCAACAATGGATCAGAGGTGTTTTCTCATATCTTCATAAATAGTTTCAAATGATGCATTTTATTATATCAAATGGTAGACTATGATTGACTTAGGTATTTTCTTACTATCCCATTGTCAAACATGCAGATGCTGCCAATTTTTGACTTTTATAAATAACTAGAGGTCCAGTTCATGAAATTTGTGCACAGGTGGGGTCCCTAGGCCTGGCTGGTGATCAGGACCAATCAGGGCCTTCCTTCCTGTTGGCTGGTGGCTGCCAGCTGCCAGCTGCCAGCTGGGGCCTGTCGACCAGGGGAGAGACTGCAGGAGGTTGGCTGTGGGAGTGCACTGACCACTAGAGGGCAGCTCCTGCGTTGAGCATCTGCCCCCTGGTGGTCAGTGCACATCATAGTGACTGGCTGTTCTGGTTGTTTCGGCGTTCGGGTCGCTTAGGCTTTTATATGTATAGATGCTGCAACAACCTTTGCTATTACTTTGGACTCAAATAATTTGTTCATAATTCAGATGTGCTTCAGCTAGCAGTGAAGGAGGAAGGTGGACACAGTGTCTTTAAGCAAATTATTAGTGTAAATTGAAGGAAAGCTAAACTTACCTATGTTAACAAATGATTTAGGCATTATCTGTGAATCGTTACTTATGATTTATAATTTATTCTTCATTGAATTGCTAAGGTAGATCACAATAGAATCTCCAGTCAACATTTTGCTTTTTAGTGATTCTTGATAGTCTATAATGAGCTGTCAAATGGAACTTTTGGAATGATGGAAATATTCTCGTTATCTGATCCATCCAATATGGTAGCCAATTAGCCACAGGTGACTATTGAACACTTGAAATGTGGTAAGGGCAACCAAGGAACTAAATTTTTAATTTTACCTAATTTTAATTGTCTTAAATTTAAATAGCTATTTGTGGCTGGTGGTAACTATATTAGATAGTGCTGTTCCTGTCAAGACAATGACTAAACACTTCTATAGTGTTTTATCTTTTCTGAGACACTTTTACATGCTTTACTTATTAATATATTTAATCCTCACAATGACTCCATGAGGTAATCTTCCAGGTACTAGTGCTGTAGAACTAATTATCCCCAAGTTTAGTGATTTAAGACAATAGCAACCATTTATTTTGCTTTGAAATCTACAATTTGGGCAGAGTTCATCAGAAACAGCTCATCTTTGCTCCACAGAGCAGCAACTGGGGCGATAGGATCTACTTCTAAGATGACTCAGTTACATGACTGGTAAATTGCTGACTATTACTGGTTTCTCTCCTCAGGGCAGCTGGGCTTCCTAGCAACATGGTAGCTGGGTTCCAAAAGCAAGTGTCCCAAGAGACAGGACTTAGAAGCTGACAAAGGATCACTTCCAACATACTCTATTGGGTAGGCAAAGCACAGAGTATGTTGGGCCGAGTTTTGAAATCATAGAAAGGTACAGTCATTTTGACTCAATTTTTCAGTTAAGGAAACTGAGTGCAGTTTCTTAAATAACTTGCCCAACGTAACAAGCCTAGTAAGGCCAAGCTGTTATTTATTCCAGGCAGTCTTGACTTTGTAACCTTAGTGCCTATATTGCATCGCTCTGTAATTCAATTTTCACTCATTTAGATCTATGTCTTCTCCAGTTTTTCATGGTCGAGTAATTATCAGATTGTGACTGATACATGTTCATAAGTCACAAACACTGTAAATATGTAGTATTTGCAAGGGTTTGCTAGATGTCAAATTAATGATAAAGACACAGTTTCAACCACCTCATTCAGAAGGCGCTGTTTGGCTCCAATTTTCAACTCCTCTGCTTCCATCCCTGTCTCCTACTGCTCCCCAAAGAGAATGTATCACCTTCAGACTGGAACAGTATGATTCTGAGTAACACCCTCTCAGTCTTAGCATGCTGCCTGCTTCACCCACGCCTCGTGCATGGAATGTGTTAGTAAAAAGGAATCAATAGGTAAAACTTATGTAGAATTATAAAAGGAGTTAAAGGAATGTTTCTGTTTTTTTCTGAACTTAAGGCTTGAGGCCAAACCCTCATTTAGGTGATATATTTGCGTATGTTTAGTGTGTGTGTTCATCCATCCATTCATTCATTAATTATTCTGATTATTGGAAGAAAAATCAATAAAAAACAGGTTGAAATACACAGGTTAAAAAATATACAGGTTACCTGAAATTCTAGAAGTTGCCTATAATGAATGTAGCTTTTTACTAACTTAAGAAACCAGCAATTTCTTTTCATGTTCAAGTTCAAAGATAATGGATATTTCCATGTGAAAAGAGAGGTGGCTTTGTTCTTTGCCCCCTGGTTTGCAAATTAGGCTCCTGTTTGGGACTGTTTGCTGCAGTGATGAAGTGTATCTGTCGCTGTATAATCATTACAACACAGGTTCTTTTTTCACCAAAATACTCTTGAGAGCGCTTGAAATTAAATGTATCCAGCTTTCCGATTTCTGGGTATCTTAAGCAATATGTATGGATCTTTTTGATGTAGAAAACCTCACTTTATCATTTTATATTCTGAGTATTCCAAATGGTGAGACTTCATTTCGGTCAAAGCCCACATATTTCTTTAGTCCTCATCCTACCTGAACCCCTTTCTTTGATAATTCTCTTGGATTTTGTGTTTGAAAACTGGTACTTTGCTGGTTTTCTATACAGTTTGTTCTTTCTCTTTTATTTTAATTGGCCATTTCTTACGTTACTTACTTTCCTATGAGGAGCTTAACTGACACCCTGCTGGCCTGCCCAGACATTCGGCTGACCCGATGTGATTCCAATATGTTTTGACACATCTGAAAGCACATTTCTCCTTTTTCCCCCAAAAGATGTTCCCTTCCCAGCTGCCCTATTTTTGAAGTCATAAAATAGGTACTCACTGTCATGTTTTTCTTCTGAAAATGGCATGTCTTCCATGGCATTCTCTGAATCTGCCATGACCTGCCCATGAGTTGACTTGTTTGATGGTTGTTTCTGGTGCTATCCTGCAAGCTCCAAGGTGGCACTGGCTAAGCCAGGTTGTTTATCACTTTCTCTATCCGGCTCCCAGCAGGGAACTTGTCACATAAAGGGCATCCGTAAATGTTCATTTGGGTCAGTGAATGAATAAACAAATGCTTATGTTTTCATTTTTATGCTTGCACCCTGGGCCAACACCTTAATGCCATCTTGGGTTTTCTCCCTTTTCATACTGTACATCTGTCAGTTTGCTAAATCCTAGGACGCTCCTTGAGACAGGTTCTTTGTTCTGCGTGCCCAGTGATATGGCACAGGTGCCCTGAATGGTGGCATGTGGTGAGCATTTCCTATGTTGCAGAAGTGGTTCTAAATGTCTCACATGTATTAATTTACTTCATCTTCGTAACAAGCGTAGAAGGGTGGGTAGGTACTATTAGTATGCCCATTTCACAGTGGAGCTGAAGCATCGTTTTTGTCATTGGTCAGTGTCACACAGCTGACCGTGAACCCACGTCTCCTGAGTCTGAGCCAGTAATACCCGCAGTGATTATGTGTGTGCTCTCTGCTGGGCACTTCGCTCACTGGGCTTTTATGCCACGCTGTGTAGGTGCTCTTAGAGGTGAAGAAGCAGAGGATGGCTTGGAGAGGTTTTAAAAACATTATCCAGGGTGGGACCCAGTTCGTGAGTAGCAGGAACAGGATGGGGCCTTCACCTGTGTGCCTGAACTGCCAGACCCACCAGTGTCTGGATAGCCATGGCTTTGGGCACAGACTCGGATTTAATGTGAACATTTCCCAAGTCGTGAGGTTCTCCTTGCTCCCTGCAGACGTCTAACGCAGCCATGCGGGTTTCTTCCCACAGACAGTGGTGGCAGCCACACGCTGCACTCCAAAACAGAGACGACCCCGTCGCCCACTGACAGTGCTGGGAGTGGACACCCAGAATATATTGCGTATGTGCTTGTCCCCGTGTTCTTCATCATGGGGCTCTTTGGCGTCCTCATCTGCCACCTGCTTAAGAAGAAAGGCTATCGTTGTACTACAGAAGCTGAGCAAGATGCGGAGGAGGAAAAGGTTGAAAAGATAGGTGAGTGCTGTGGATTCTTTTTATGGGAGTGTGGGTTGGGTTGATTTTTAAGTAAGGAAACAGTCATACACACGCACACACACACAAACACAAACACACATATTCCATCCCTGTGAGCAAGATGATGCATGCTAACCGCAGGTGGTATAGTAAGTGTTCGTGTAGATGTCACCATAATAACACCTACCATTTTAAACCTGGCTTTCATTTATTAAATACTTACCAGGTAATTATTCTTACTTGTCTTGTGGTCTTGGGCAAGTTACATATGCTTTGAATCTCTGCTATGTATACTTTAACTGAAATTTAATTTAAATTAATTTAATTAAAATTTTATTTCATTTGTATGAGTATAGTAATCTCTACCTCATAGGATTATTGTGAGAAGATGATGTGATGTGGGACACAGATGGCCACTCTGTAAATATTAACTCTCTCTACTATTATTGAGTTAGATTCTAATTTAAATGATGGGAAAGTCAGTAGATCTCACCATTTGGGGGGGGGGGTAATTACTTTGTCTAGGGGAGCTCTGTGTTAAATCAAGGAGATTGGAGTTTATGATGTTTAAATTAGTGATTGTGTGAATAGTGCAGTATAAGAAGCGCAGACTAGTGCCTTAGCGTTAACTTTAGGGCAGCTCACCTTTTCCTCTTAACGAGGAGTTGTTGGGTGGTCTTTAGAAACACCTAAGAGGTGAAATTCTGTTTTCTCCATGGATGTTCTTTCTAACCATCCGTTAGGGGCACTTTCTAACTTGAGTCTTGGGGAGTCTAGATAACTCTCCATGTCCCTTTCAGCTTCTCAAAGGGCAGTTTTTGCAGAAGGTGACATTTGCAGTAAGTAGGTCACCCTTCAAGCCAGCCCAAGGGTGGAGTGGGGGGAGCTTCCTCATTCCTTGCCAGCTTGCCGGCCTGTTGGTTTTTCCCACCCCCACTGACCTTTGAGGCAGAGAAAGAACTCGGCTGCAGGATGAGTCATGAGCGAGCTTGTGAGCAAATCAGAGCTGGGTGTTTGTCAACAGACAGCGGAGCCTCCCACCTTCTCCTTCCTAGACGCTCTGCAGGTGGGCTTAGCAGTCAGCGTTTGCACTGGCCCACCAGACACGCATCCTCATGGAGGAGCATCCTCACGGAGGAAGCGTCTGTGCTGGAGAAGGCACTTCTCCAGGTTCATGCTCTGTGAATTGCCGTGAAGTGTTTCAACCCTCCTCTTCCTTGTTTATTGAAACAAATTATACAGACTAGTTTCAGAGTAGAGGTTTGATTTTTTTTTTTCCAAAGACTATCACCTATACCAGTAATAGCAAACCTTTTGAGCTCGGCATGTCAGCATTAAAAAACCCTAACTTAACTCTGGTGCCGTGTCACAGAGAAATTTTTTGATATTTGCAACCATAGTAAAACAAAGACATATTTTTGATATTTATTTTATATATTTAAATGCCATTTAACAAAGAAAAATCAACCAAAAAAATGAGTTCGTGTGTCACCCGACACACATGTCATAGGTTCGCCATCACTGACCTATATAGTCTCCAAATTAAGGCCAAAATTAAGATCATCTGGAAGTGTATTTAAAAGAAAGGAGAGTCTTATAAATATGGATGAATATTACATTACCCAATTTAAAAAACCAAATTAAAACCCTACATTTCCACTGCAATTAAAATAATCCAAGAATAATTTTTTCCCTTTCAATTAGCTTTTTTCCATTACCCCTAAGGGTTTAACACAATGTTGAGAGAGAAATAATAGTGGTATGGACTGATACCAATGCATGAAGTGGTTGTCTTGGAAAGTGAGTGGGTGTTTGGACTTGAGACGAGACTGATGGACCACTGCGATGCTCTTCATGTCCAGTGGAAGCAGGGAGTCGCTGCGTGCTCTGCCTCAGGCAGTCAGGGAGGAAGGGAGCCTGGGTGCTCCGCACCCTGGGTGATTGGCTGAGCTTCTGAAGACTGTTCAGTGAGGTCTCGGCTCTAAGACAGAATGTCTCATCGACTCGATGCAGGTGACCAATTGTAACATCATTTCCTCCCCTTTCTCTTTCAGAGTTGAATGATAGTATGAATGAAAATAGTGACACTGTGGGGCGAATTGTCCACTACATCATGAAGAATGAAGGTATGTTTTAGTGTTCCGGAGCAATTCAGTATTCCCATGTTTTATTAAGAACCTGCTCGGAAGAGTCAGGATTTGTATGGCCTCTCCTGTCGATTTTCTGAAGTTATCGGCAGCACCTTTTACTGAAGCTCAGCTTCCAACATTGTCCAACCACGAGCAGTTCAAATAAGTGAGCTTTCTAAGAGCCAGTTGGCCTGAGGGCTGCAGAGTCAGGCCTGGAGGTGGTGGCTTACCTTCACATCCTGGCCTCACCTCTCAATCTGGGGAAAGCCACATTACCTCAGTTCTCCTCTGTAATAACAACACCTACCTGGTAGCATTGTTGTGACATATCGCACATTAAGTAAGTAGTATAATAAGCACTCAAATATTACTAGTATCTACTCCTTTCTTGTGCTTTATGTGAAATACACATAATGTGAAATTTACCATTATATCCACGTTAAAGTGCCTAATTCATTGGCATTAGGTACATTCACAGTGTTGTACAACCATCACCACTCTCTAGTTCTAGAACTTCTTCATCCCAGACTGAAGCTCTGTGCCCATTAAGCAGTTACCTGCCCCCCAAACTTTATCCCCTTCCTTCCAACCCACTGGCCACCGCTACTCTGATTTCTGTCTCTATGCATTTGTCTGTTCTGTGATCATTCTTAAATGTACAAACTTTTAAAATGTTTAACCTTTATGGATCTAAGCATTTCCTGCCTCTGAAATGTATTCTAAACCACCATCTTCTTTCATGGCGGGTTAATTTAATCATGATCAGATACATTAGGGTCATCACGATAGGATGATTCCGTGCCCTCAGCGACTTTTGAGGTTTGTGCAACTCCTTGCCCACATACCCAATAGTTGCAGATCCTCATACTTTAGATTTTCATGAGGATTGAAAATAAAACGTTCTCCGTGGGCACTGTCTTTGCCTGTCAGTGCTGACTCACATGGTGTGCATTGATGCAGCTGAGCCATTTGTCTGGGAGGTGAAGTGCCTCTGTATGGCCCCGTAAATGCCTGCTCTTCTGCCCCAGCCTTTCCCGGGGGAACCTCAGCCTCCCCTCTTCTCTATCAGCAAGAGCTGCTGCCCAGCCCAGGCAGTTGGTCACTGTTTTTGACTTAGAGAAACAGCCATTCCGTAGGATTCAGCATAATTTTCATTGTTCTTTACAGAGTGTGCTTTATGTATTTGGTATAGATCCAGGTGCTTTGTGTGTATAATTTCATTTAACCCCCAAAATATCTCTACAGTTAGCATTATATCCATTTTATAGATGAAGATGTGAAGGCTCCAGGTAGTGAGCAGCCTAGTCCTACCTGGGTCTCTCTCAAGTGTAGCTTTCAGTTTCTGTAAAATCAGATAACCAGACTTAGTGGAATGGCTTTTAAAAGAAGATCAAAACAGACCAGAACGCTTGGATTTTAAGCTGTCTTCCAGAGATCTTCCTTCAGGGAACAGTATTTGGTGATGCTGTTCTTGGCACTCAATGGTGCATGTTTCCTTCACATAGAAAAGTGGTTTGTAATTTGCACAAGAAATATACAAACATGTTCACGGCATCGAAGCTTCAGCCGTCACAGAAGTGCCCAGTGAGGTGTGGACAGCCCTTCATTGCTCCCGTGCCTGTGGCTTTGGGGAGCTTGGAGGCCTCTGGGCTTCTGAGAGCGGAAGCAGCTCCTAAATTAGTGAGTACTGGACGAGGTGCTGAATCCATTGAAGTCGGTCACCTGTGGAAACTTCGCCAGGGGCTGAAGTTCGTATGTATGACTTCACAGTGCACCTGCGTGTTGGCTGCATGCCAGGCCTGTTCTAAGGGCTTTTCAGGGACTAGTAACTCTGTGATTCAGGTACTTTCTTGCCATTTTACAGGTGAGAGACCGAGGCTCCTAGTGCTTAACTAACTTGCTGGGAAGTGGCAGAGCTGGGCTTGGAACTCTAGCATCTGACTCCAGAGTCTATACTTAACCACTCGAAGTTACTGCCTCCTTTGTGGTTTACATAGGGATGGTAAACTTCCTTCTTTGAAAGGCTTAAAGTATACAGCTGGGGTAGTTTGTAAAACGCTAGAAACATTAAAGCATTGAATCCTCAGAACTACCTGATGAGGTAGGCCCATTTTGCAGATGAGGTAGCTGAGACTCAGAGGGTAAGAAGCTTGCCCACGGCCCGCAACCAGTGTGGCAGGATGGTGCCTGCAGGGGGCCCGTCTTTTGATTACAGCAGCCAGGAGCATCTGGGCCCTGGAGCAGGCATTCTGTATCATTTCCTTACCTCCCACACTCAAGGGCAAATTGGTCTGTTCTTTTGGTTTTTAATTATGTCCTGTCCTTTTGGAGAACAGCCTTTTTGTTTCAGCTGCGGTAATTCCCAGTAGGTATGTCAGGGTAATACCGAAGGCTCTGTTTTCTGTCTGATTCTTTTTTTTTTAAATATGTCTTTATTGATTTTCTTTTTAAGAGAGAGAGGAAGGGGTAGGGATAGAGAGATGGAAACATAGAACATCATCAGTTGGCTCCGTCTTGCACACCCCCTGCTGGGGATCGAGCCCGAAAACCGGGCCTGTGCCCTGACGTGGAATCGAACCACAGTGACCTCTTGGTTCCTGGGTCGACACTCAACCACTGAGCCACACTGGCCAGACTCTATCTGTTTCTTTACCCTCCTCCCCTGTCAGTGCCTTCATCTGTCTGTCTGTGATGTGGCCAGTGACCGGTGAGAATGGGTGGGGACTCTGGTCCTTTGTGTAGCACTGGTCCTCCTTGGCTACAAGGAGACATCTGATCTCTCAGGACATCCCTTTCCTGCCGTGGCCCCTCCAGCTTCCAGCCTGTTCCCAAACCACAGCTGGGTGGTTAGTTACATACTCTGGTCTCTTACCAGTTATAAGCCAGCTTTTCCAGTTTGCCTTTGAGATCTAAATCCTCTATAGAACAAATTTATTTTTATTTTCCTTTGTCTCTGTCATTAAAAGACTCTGAACTTAACTATAAATTTAGACCTCTCTGTTGGTGTTATGTTTATAATTCTTTTTCATTGTAAGCACACCATAGCATAATCTTAAACATTGGGAAAAAAAGGAGTAAAATTAAGTGCGATTCATCCAGTACCATTTCCCACATCTATTTAGGTTTACTTTGCCTATATTTACATATTTTAAACTATTTGTAATCATGATGTATGATGAGTCTTCCTCTTTGCATTTCTAATTTGGCAAACGGGGTAGTATTTCCCCTGTGCTTATGGTGACAGTCTTGTTTATGGCTTAAACATATCATGGCTTGAATGTTGCAAATCAGGTTACTCTAGATAAGGATCTCTGAAGGATTCATTTCTCAGCTGACCTGAGCACTGATTATTTTCCTCCTAATCTCAAGTCTTGGATTAGCTAGAGTGTTACCTTTAAGTTTTCTTTCAAGTGAGGCTGAATTGAGGAGTGTTTGCGAGGTCATTGGGGTGTTTTTCATTATGGAGTTTGCAAAGTACCTGCCACTCCATAGCTGAGCTCCTCTTGCAGGCCCTTTCATGGTCTGATAGAATAACAATGAAGAGTATTGTGATTGTTCTCCTTGTGCCCCTGACCATTCACAGGAGGCAGAGGGATCCCTTTGTGAAATTCTTACCACAATTTATATTATGACTAAAAGGATTCCTTTACAAACTCTTGTAGGTCTCTGAAACTTGCTGTAATGGTTATGCAAACATCCTGTCAACTATTGAACTATTAATCATTGGGGTAGAGACCTGGACGAGTGGGAAGACCATCAGGTGAAAGAGTCAGGTAGACCAGTTTGTGTCCAGCCTGTCGCTGTGCCCGTGTGACTCTGGCCAGCCAGTGACAGGCTTTAGGCCTCAGTCTCTGTGTTGTAAAATGGGGCGATAATTCTGTCAGGGTTGTCGGGAGAGTCAAACATGGTGAGGTCTGGAAAACTTTTGGCCGGGACTGGCACATACCAGGTACTGTCATTTGGCTGATGGCAATAGTAGTTCTTACTTGGGAAAGTTGCCTTGATTGTAAGGGAAAAAGCTGAAGAGAGTAGTGGTAGGAGAGGAAATGAGGAGGCAAGGGGGGAAGATTTCCTAGCCCATCCCTTAACCAAGGCCCTTCCAACCTGATTCTAGGTCTGCCTTACTGGGGGAAGGGCCTGCTGACCTCTCTGCCGGGTAAGAGTAGGCTGGGGACTCTAGGAGCCCCGCTGGGCGGGGCCTGTGAAGGCTGACCCATGTACAGTCTTGCAGTACCTCCAAGGTGCTAGTCACCTGTTGGTCTCAAGGATGAAGCTTGAAGAACAGAGGAAGAAGCGCACTCCCGCAGGAAACCTCCCTCCCTTCCATTCTCTCTGAAAAGCAGTGGGGAAAAAATTAACATTAGGAGTGTAATGTAACTTAGTCCATGCTAGGTAAGTTGTATGTGTGACCAACACAAAGTTTTAAGCGATCTGGCCTGTGTGGTTAAGGATGCAGAGGCAAGCCAAATGACCCACCTGGAAAATTATATTACACGTGGGATTTTATGTGGGATGCACTTGAAACGACATGGCAGGGTTGAGAGGTTATTATTTGGGCACATAGAAGTCATTAGCACACAGGTCTCCTAAGACATATATGTTCTTACATACTCAGCACAGTGAGCTGGATGCGGTGGAGCATGTCTGCGTTCCCTTCGGTTTGAGAGGAGGCAGTGTCTTCTGTGTCACACTGGGTGATGGGTAGGGAACAGCTCTCTGCTGGAGCTGCTTGCTCTGTCGATTCTCCATCACTCATCCTCAGTTCCCGCCTGGGGAAAGGTATTGGCAGGTGGTACCCTGTCCTGGGGTTCCCTCCCTTCTCCGGGGCCCCAGGGCCTCATCTGTGAACTGAATGAGCTCAGCCAGGAGTTATTCCAACAGCTTTTCTGATGTGATAATTCTGTGATTACTCCTCTTTCTCGTGCTATCCTAATTCTTTACATTTATTCCCCCTTAGCAAATGCGGACGTGTTAAAGGCCATGGTAGCAGATAACAGCTTCGTCGGGGATCCTGAGAGGTGAGTGGTCCTCCCCAGCTATGGGCATTTTCTTCAGTGTGTGCCAGAGCGGGTTTCCCAGCTTCAGCACTGGTGACATTGGGCCAGATAGTTATTTGCTGCGAGGAAGGTCCTGTGCTTTGGGGTGTTTGACAACATTCTTGGCTTCCGCTCACTGGATGCCAGTGCCCCCCTCCCTCCAGAATGTCTGGGCACATTGTCTGTGTCCCCTGGAGGCAGAGGCACCCGGGGAGAACTGCTGTGGGAGAGAATGGTGATGGGGAAAGTGGCAGCCTTGGGGTGGGGGTGGGGGCCTGGCTAGGGTCTCACCTCCAGGACTTACTAAGCATCTTCTTGGGGAAGTTACCTGACCGCTCCGAGGTCAAGTTCCATCTCCTATAAGATGGAGATGACCGCTGCACCCACTTCATTGGGTTATTATAAGGAATACGAAAGACTTCCATGACTTCTCCCTAATTAATTACAGGACTGTATTTCTGTATAATTTCTATATAATTTGTTATTCTCCAACCAGGAGCATTTATCGAGCCTGCTGTGTGCTGGGTACTGTGCTGGAACTGGGTGTTCAGATCTTGCCACGGAGGACTCTGTGTAGTGGGGGATGAAGATGTGTGAGCCCCCGTGGTGGGTGCTGTAGAAGTAAGGGCCCGGGGTGCCAGGGGCGCTGTGGGGCCTGCCAGAGGCCAGCGAAGGTTCAGAGAAGTGCCATCTGAGTCAGGCATGCAGCAAGCAGAGAGAAGAGGCAGGGGCTGCGTTTAGAAAGTTCAGGAGAAAAGGCCCTGGGGCACAAATGTGTGAGATGCATCTGGAAAGGTCAGTCTGGGGTGGCCAGAGAACGTTCTGCGGACAGTAGCGAGAAGGCCAGGAAGGCAAGTTGGGACTGAGTGATGTGGCAAGGAGTTTGGACCTTCCTGCTTACCCTGTGGGTGGTGCACCCAGCATATTTTACTTTTGCTATATATATATATTTTTAAAGCATATGTATATATATATATGCATCAATATATATATAATTGATTTTTAGGTGGGGGGGAGAGAGAGAGAGAGAGAGAGAGAATATCGATGTGAGATTGAAACATCGATCAGCTGCCACCTGCACGCCCCCTACCTGGGGATCGAGGCCACAACCCGGGCATGTGCCCTGACGGGGAATCTTACCAGCAACCTTTTGGTGCATGGGAGTAACACCCAACCAACTGAGCCACACTGGCAGGGCACATCCAGCATATTTAAAATATTTAATACGTGCTTGTCAAGCTGGCCATGTTAGCTTTGCACTTTTCCGAGGTAAGTGGGTGCAGGAAGGTCAGCTTAGGAAGCTCTGGTGGTGTCGTTCACAGAGACATGATCTGTGATTTCTCCCGAGTTCCAGCCCTGAGCACCGACGCCTGGTGTTAGGACCCAGTTAGTGCATGGGATCTTTGCCTGTTACCTGTGGGCATCACATGGTGCCTTCTCTGGGCTTTCTACACAGCGGGTACTTGATAAATGTTTGTGAATGGATGTGTTAAACTTTTGAATTCAGCCTTCTACTATGTGGTGTTACTTTAACATTGTTTTGCCCCAGAAAGCTGCTGCTGCGTGGTTGCTGTTTTGTTTGTGTTTTTAACATATAAAGAGCATCCCTGAAGAGCACCAGGAAGCTATTGGCGTCTGTGGTATTTGAGAGTATCTTTTCAACCCAGGGCCACACTTCTTTTTTTTTTAAATATATTTTTTTATTGATTTTTTACAGAGAGGAAGGGAGAGAGATAGAGAGTTAGAAACATCGATGAGAGAGAAACATCGATCAGCTGCCTCCTGCACATCTCCTACTGGGGATGTGCCCGCAATCCAGGTACATGCCCTTGACCGGAATCGAACCTGGGACCTTTCAGTCCGCAGGCCGACGCTCTATCCACTGAGCCAAACCGGTTTTGGAAGGGCCGCACTTCTAAATGTGCAAGCTGGCTGTTTCAGCAGCATAAAGGCTGGGTTGTGCAGTCGCAGACTTCCAGGTGCCTTGGGGCTCTGACACAGCCTTAGGTGTCAGGCTCTGCTGTGATGGATTGCCCCACCTGTATCCACTTCCACCAGGTCAGCGGGCTGGTTCCCTGTCAGGCTTGCCTGTCCTGTTTTAATTCCTCCTTTTCTAGTGGACCAGAGCCCTGCCATGTGCCTTTTGAAAGGAGAAAATCCCTGGCCTGCATACTTTTGTTTGGTTTCTTTTTTCAGAGAGGAAGGGAGAGGGAGGGAGATAGAAACATCAATGATGAGAGAGAATAATTGATCGAAACCCAGGCATATGCCCTTGACTGGAATTAAACCCAGGACCCTTCAATCTACAGGCCTACGCTCTATCCACTGAGCCAAACCAGCTAGGCAATTCCTCTGCTTTTTGATA